CGGCCCGGGCAGCCGGCGGCCACCTCCACCGCCAGTGTCTGAGCTGGGCCCCTGTCCTTTTCCCTGCCTGGCGGGCAGGGCGGGAACCCAGCCTGTCTTTCCTGGAAACAATCTGCGAGGCGCCCGGTGGCTCTGAAAGACGCCGGACGGACGGAGAGCCGTGTCTGCTGTGACGGAGACTCAGCAGCCCTGCGCTCGCGTGTCCCCCCCCCGCCCCGCCCGCCACGTGCCATGGCTGCTTCTCCAACCCTGTGGGGCTCCAGCTCCTGTCCACGAGGGAACATATCTGATGTCAGTGAAAGGAGCCTCCGTTTTGTGTGATTTAGGTTTTATTTAAGTTAAAACTCTTGGCTCGCATTTTGGAAATCAGAGATTACCTGGCAGCTGCATCTGTTAACACAATAAAAGCATGAGACGCAGTTTCTGTTTCTGACATTTTTAAATCAGGAGACTGAAATGTGTTTTATCCTAAAAAATCCAGTTATAAAACCAATAAAGGAATATAGGCCTCTTTTTATTTTTTTAAATGTTTTTATTGATTTCAGAGCGTGTAAGGGAGAGAAACATCAATGATGAGAAACTGATCGGCTGCCTCCTGCAGCGCCCACACAGGATCGAGCCGGCACCTGGGCCTGTGTCCCGACGGGATCCCCCACGGGGCGAGAGCCAGCTGCCCCTCTCGTGGCCGCGGTTACAGGTTCTTAGACAGGAGCTGCCTTTCAAAGCGGCCTCGCCAGCTGGCGCGGATCAGTGGTGAGTGTGGACCTAGGAAGGAGGTCAGGGTTCAACTCCTGGTCAGGGCACATGCTCTGAGGACTGGGGATCACACCTGCAACCCAGGTACATGCCCTTGACCCGAATCGAACCCGGGACCCTTCAATCCACAGGCCAGCGCTCTAACCGCTGAGCACATGGTCAGGGCACGATGGGGCACGGCTCCCTGCCGCCTCCCAGCCCCAGGTCGCTCCTTGCAGGACTGGGAGCTTCCCCTTGAGCTTGCCAGCCGTTGGCAGCAGGGACACGCTGTACGGAAACGCGGTCGGACACGTCGGTGAGGAGTTTCAGCAAAGCAGGACTCCAACTTGGCGGAAGCGTTTTCATGAACAGCTTGGAGGATCGTCCCCTACGTGTGTGTGGTTGGTGGTTGGGTTTACTAGACTCTAGAGTAACTCGTTTAACGGAGAATGGAAGACCGCGGTCTCCCTGTCCACGCGGCCCTGCCTCAGAGGCGCTGCCCTTCGCGTTGTTGTAGGTGGGATTTGCGCGCAGGCTGAGTCCTGGTTCGGTGGATTCCGCTGAACCCACACCATGCAGCTGCCCGGGGTGACCCGCACCACAGCAGTCCTGCCCACGCTCCCGCG